AGCATCCCTACGATTTGTACTGCTCTCTTTTTCAAAATTACAATAAAAAAAAGAAAATCAACAAACTTTCGTTTACACGCGATAGCTGATCTGATCACTGTCGGTTTGATTTCGAACGGGAACGTCTTAATCAGCCAATCCGCTATGGCCTGCAAATAGTATCGCCGTAAGCGTATCCCTAAATTGTCAACATGTAAAGAAGGATGACATTGCAAGATTTTCTCCTATTCTGCCAGCAGCATCTAATGCGAGAGTAAGCACTAACAATGCAGATATGCTAAAAAGAACTTTTGTAATGAAATTCGTCTTATGATTTGCGCTTCGAGCCTCAACTATAGTTCAACTAGTTAACTTTAAAACATTTCCTGATAATTTTAAAATCAAGAATTTTCACAAATACATGATAAACAAAGAAAATTGAACGGTTTTCCGGTTTTTTCTCAAATTAGTCCTTAAAGTAGAGGAGGCAGCTAACATTTAATTGTGCGCTTGGCCTAAATGCCAACAAACGCAAATAGTGATTTAAAGATTTATATAGGTTAGAAAAGAGAAGCTCAGAAAAATTATGGTCCTTTGAAGCCGTGATTTGACAGCTAACATACAAAACAGAACTTTGATGAATGTGAATGTTAATTGCACAAGCACTTCGTATTTCAATAACTTACAAGAGCATCACTTTGACATGAAGCAAGAACCGAAAAAGCCAAATTAAAAGGAATAACTTGTCAAGAAAAAAATCTATTCATTTAAAAAATTTGTGTAAACCTGCGTTTGTTATCTGTAGTTACATCATTTTTTATAACTTCCAGTTTCGCGAAATCAGCGTAAACAAAAATGATAAGCACGGATTACAAAGCACAGCATTTGCTCGTGATTTTCTTGGAAAAAACCAAATCGTCGATGTCAGTAGGAAACGTATACATATGCAGTGGTCAAAGAATAGCAAAATGACTACCAGAACACACTTGCTGGAGATTGTCGATTCATCGACGTAATTTTCATTTTGGAACTCTATAAACTTCTCACATTAGGCTATTAGTCTGCAAGGGTAAGCGAGTAACTGTAGTAAATTCACAGTTCGGCAATAAAGCTCTTCGTAAAGGAGCAGATGCAAGTATTAGGTTGGCCAGAAAATAATTTCGGTTGAGTTTGCACGTTTCTCACAAGTTCTGTATTGGAGTTTTGTGAGCAAGTATGGCATTCTTTGAAAGAGCACTTCACGGTGAGTAGCATGCTATAACCTAATCTCAATTCGTATCCATTTTAGGAATTTTATGCGCTTTAGAAGATGCGTGACCAAAAAATTCGAAATTCGCTTTTGCATTTGTACGACTTCAAACAGCAGAATTGCTTCAAACTTTGTGCGGTGCTTTTAGGGAGGAGACCGTAAGTCCAGATTTGGTTTAAGCGTTTTCGAAATGGAGACGAGACCTTAGAAGACGTTTTTTGCGATGACCGTGAATTAAGGGAGATAGTCG